TGCACCAAGAGGCTTTCTTTGGTTCTGCTGTCGTCACGGAGCAAATTAACAGGAAAAAAACAAGGAGCGGAGAGAAGCTCTTGCTCCAGCAGCTGCATCCCTACAAGCAGCCCCTTGCACACACGCGGCGCCTGGAAGAAAAATGTGCTGGGAAGCAGGAGTGCTGCTGTGCGACTGCAACCTGCAGCGATCCAGGGGTATGTCTGAAGGGACCTGGCTGCAGGAGCAGGGCTTTGCATTTGATCATGCATGCTAAGGTGTGAGCAGAATTTTGGGGGGGTTTGCCTACTCATAGTAGCTATATATAAAGCACAAATCCTGCCATTTTAGATTTTTTTTTCCCTCCTGCTATTTCTGTCTTCTTTCATCATGGATAAATTAGCATGAAGGGAGATGATGGGGCTAATTAGTTCCAAGCAGTGTTAATTTCTCTGCTTGGAACTCTCTGTTATCCAGTCAGATTGCTCCATTTTTTACGGCTTATATTTTAAAATCTCTTCATTCATAGCACCTAATCCTTTATCTCTCCTTTTTTTTTTTTTTTTCTTTTTGATGCTATAGGGAAAACATAATTCCACATAATTGGGACATAGAAGCTTGCAATAGAAATTATACATGGTTGCAAGAAAGGTTTTTCCTTGAATGGAAATGTGTCCAACAGAACAGTAGGCAAGATCTGTAGAGACATATGTGAAGGGTTAATTTAGCAACAAAATGTAATCACCATAATACGTAATGTCAGGAACTAACCTACCTAGCTGCTTTCTCCCAGACTTGTGCAGAACAAGGAATAGCTCCATAACTCATATATCAAGCTGGAAGCTGGAAACAGTGCTTGTGGGAATACGATACCACGCCGTCAAAGTCAACCAGAGTCGTGCAGCTCCACTCTCAGCCAACGACTTCTCCCTTGTGTCTCACATCTTCAAGCACGACCATGCAGATGTGCCTCGCAGCTCGGGCTCCTGTGCGTTGGTGGCAGCTTGGAGCAAGGTTTGCTCAGCAACTACAAAAATTAAACCGTTTTGGCCAGTGGCAAATAAAACTTTTTCGTACACGCTACTATTCTGCACCAAAGGTCATACTCCTTATTATCAGAAAAACTAACTTACCTCATTTCCCAGGAAGACGGAGTCTGGACACACCTAGAGATAAGGTGCTTGGCCTCTGTAGAAGTGAAAAAACACCTTGTCGTGTAGTCAAGAACCGATTAAGAGGTGGTGTTGTCATGGCCTGGCCAGTGTCTTACCCAGCCCTGCTCCCACCTGGATGCACAGTAACTGCGACTCTTCCTCGACGTGCATTACTCACACTGCCGAGCGCGCCGCCGTCAGCAAGATGCTCCGAACGCTCGCACCCTCCCTTCGCTCAAGATCCCTGTAGAAGGTGAGTGGTAGAAGTAGGAAAAAAGCCCCCTTTGACTTCCTAGCTGTTACTCTGAATCTTGGATAACGTCCTCTCCATTGCTTGTCCCCACTGACCATCTATGCCTGAGATGAGTAAACGGCGTGAAGGTAGTTAAAACCTGCTGAAAAAAAAAAAGCATTTTGTTCTGGAAATGAAATCCGGCTTACGTGGCTCATCTATCTCGTTTCTTGATTTTTATTTTTTTTTAGGCTGGTTTAGGCCTCATTTGTGTGGAAAGCTCTAGAGGAAACTGGGGGTTAGTTTTCAGTCAGCAGAGCGTTTTTTCAGAATCTGCCGTAGACGACCTTTTAAAACGAGGAAATAACAAACCCGTAGACTGTGAAGTAAATCCTAAGCCTCTTCCCAAGCTGTCCGCTTGTGTTAGGATCCCCTATCACTCAGTTTTATTTTTCTGATAATTCACTGGCAGATGACTCTAACACAGATCAATTAAAAAAAAAAAAATAGCTAAAGAAAAAATCCAGTGTATTAGAGGATGGTTCATCTCTGTAGATGAAAAAACCACCTCTGCCTTCCGTTTTGAATAAATTCAGATTTTGACTGAAGTGGCCTGGCTTATTTCCAGTTTACAGTAATTCTATTCCACTTACCTGAAATTCTCCTTTTAATACAACTCTGATTAAATGTTTGTTATCTCTCAACTGCCTGCAATGGTTGCAAGGTGCTACAGGAGCAAGAGTAGCTATGGCAGGAGGAAGTAAAGTGATTTCTTTATAGGCAGTGATAAAATTTTCAAGAGCATCCTTCACTGGCACGAATCTGTTTCCCTGAAAGAAACATGGGATTTCCACAGGCTCCGATGGGAGCTGAATTAAGCAGACACAGGTGCTTTTGTACATCCCAATGCTCCCCCAGCACATTCTGTATTGATGCATTGAAGCAATTTACATTATTGATTGGCTGGAAAGACAGAACTTACACACAAGAAAAAAAAAATAAACTGGAACCCTAAAAATCAGTATTATTAAATGAAAACAATGAGGATGTATGATAAAGGCAATTTTATTTTCACCATGATGGTTTGTTTCTAGTTTCCTCTGATGCCGTATTTTGCCTAATGTTTTTCTGGAAGAGAAGTAGCTTGAAATCTCCTGTGAAAGTAAAGGAGCAGAGGGATGAAGTTAAAAATGCTCCTTGTATTTCAAGTAGTGTTCTGGTACAGCTGTTTGGCAAGCACCATAAATACTTAACTGCATTTTATTTCGAGGCTCAGAGGCTTCTTTTATAAGCTTATCTCCTTTATTGCTCCAAACCAGCAGCAAAACCCAACACTTTCCTACCCATGTACAATGTGTTACTCACTGAATCCAGCCCAGAAGCTCCTGCGGGATGTCTGTGCCTTACGAACAGCCTAACGTCTTGTGCTGAGTCAGAAAGTGGAAGCCACCTTCATCTTTATTGTAGCTGTTGTTTAATGATCAGAAGAGGTATCTTACTCCTGCACCTATAGGCTGTTTGAAATTTATCTACTTTTTACTATGTTATTTAGGTGCTTTGCAATCCTTCAGCAACGGAAGAAACGTCATAAATATGAAGCGTCATCCCATAAAATCATACCCTGTTAGAGTGGCAATTTGGGATCGCGTTCATGGTCTGGTGTGCTCTTCCAAAAGGAAAGGGGCAAGCAGAACTGATGCTCAATTAAAAGATGAGAGTAAGAAATTAAGTAACTGCAAGTACCCTATTCATCAGAAGACTGAGGACCTTCTGCAGAGAGAAGAAAAAACCAAAACTATTCTCCAAATGATTTAAGAAGCCGACAAATACGGAGAGGTTTATTCATCACTGTGGTCTAACGTCATTTAACGGCAAGAAGTGAGGGGGTTTTGCTAACACATGAAACTGGGACCCAAAGACGACAGACATTTTTTTATAGTTCATGGATGGATCTACACCTCTTGGCTAGTTTCAGAGGATGGGAATGCGGTTAGAAATTCTTGAACAACAGCTTGCTCCTGTTCGGAAGCAATACCTAAAATAGGGTGCATGTCAAAAAGCAAGTGAAATTCATGTTCTTTTAAGGTAAGTTATCCTGTCTAATAAAAGGTAGAACTTTTCTGTTATTCAGAGCTGGAAGACATCCTGACTTACAGTTCAGATACAATTAACAGTTTCATTTCACATCATTCTTTTTCCTCCTAAGTGAATAACTGAATCACACGCTGAAAAAAGCAACTGCAGACCACTTCTATAAATCCAGTTACAAGCGGGTAGTGCAGACAAAGCGGAGAAAAGAGCCTTGCTTTCTCCTGGTTTTCTAACAGAATTATTTTTTTTCCCAGGAAATCTTCAGCATAGCACCTAAAGCACTTCATCAGATGCAATTTAGACACTTACCTTCTTTTGGAAGCCCCACATGTAAAATTGTTGGGACGGTTCACCTAGGCTTTGCAGGGCAGAGACATTTGGCATCTACCCCATCCCTAAAATGCTACCTCCCCCCCTCCCACATACACCCACACTCAACCCTTCTTCCCACCCTGAACTCAAAAGGAATAGAAAACCTGAACGCACAGTCCCAGTTCGGTTGCTGGCGCTGGTGTTACCCAGCAGCACTGCTCCTTGAAGGGTTAGAAGCCAAGCAAATATGTATTTAACGGGAATTATGAAAATTAAGAAGTACAAGGTTCAACTTTTTGAAAAGCACCTTCTTCCCCCACATCAAAGGGCTCATTGATTTCTTGCTGAAGTTCTGACTGAAGTGGAGCTGAGTGGGTGAAAGGAGGGGAGAAAAAGATCAAATCTAATCTTAGGAGCTGTGTCAAGCAAGTACTTTATGGCTCATCCAAAGCTGATCACGAGACAATTCCTGAATGTAAATATGATTTAATATGTCTGGCTAATGCTAGGACTCTGTCCAAGCATATTCTCCAAGTGAGAAATGGCTCTTCTTCTCCTCTGCTCCCTTTGGTGTGTTCTTGAACTTTGTATTCCTTGAAATCCCAAGCAACTATTCACATTAATAAAGTGTTAAGGTGTTTGACCAGGAGGCACTCACAAAGAGAAACGGCTCTGTTGTTTTACCCACTTCAGCACTCACCATCTCAGTTTATTTTCTTATCCCGTTTAACTCCTGTTCAAAATCAAACAGGAAGCAATTAAGGTGAGCCTACTACAAAGCTGCCCTCGAAATACGTAGCTGGGTCCCTAGTGCAGAAGGAAGGTCATGCCCCAAAAATGTAATTATAGGCATTTGGAAGGAAGGCAGCGCCCACATGCTGGGGTGACTGGTGTAAAACGCACCACTTCGAGTTCACTTTCAGCAGGCAGATGACCACAGCCAAGACAGACACTGCTACCACCACCTTTGCAGAGGCACTGGTGGCAACCCTGGTTGAGCCAACAAAGCACATCAGAGCAACGATTTTATCTACTTGAATTAATAGAAAGGGGGAAGGAAGAAACTCAACTCCCTACCAAGCTGCAAAACTACCATCATTTCCTCTCCCTTAACTGCCCTTTGACTTTTGTCAGGCCGCGGCCACGATGACAGGGAGAAGGAGAGCATGGAAATAAGCATCTAATGACGACAGTGGGAGACAAAGCAAAGTCTTTACACAGGATTTAACTAATTATATTTTGGGCAAATATTTATTTATCTAAAAACAAAATAAAAATCATTTTTAAAAGAAAAATGTATTTAAATAAAAAACAAAACTGTGAAATGTTATGGCACAGAAGTTCAAGACAAGTATAAATCCAGTTGCCACAACTGTTGCGTATTAATGTTGCACATTTTTCTATAAAGGCTTTATTAAAGGTATTTACATGGCAATAAGATGTGTAAATATATACAGCAATCTGGGGACGACCCTTTTGGGATTCTCATATGAAAAAAAAAATGCCTTAAATACAAAATTTTAAAAGAAAAAAAGTTGAAGAGTTCATCCCCAAGCATGAAGAATGTCCCATCATCCCTTATGCCCAAAGTATCAATTATGAGGCAGTTTTGAGGTTCTGGCCAAACCCTTGGGAGATTCAGCCAAGGTTGTGTAGTCTCAAGTTAAAAATCGCACAGCATGCAGTTGCAATAGTTCCATACTTGATGGACTGGTGTAGTTCATGAGTGATATTAGACACATTAATATTTTATCATAGCTTCAGTCTAGTTTGGGTTATTCTAAGCAATGCCCAAGAGTTCCTATGCACAAGAGTTCCTTAGCTGCTCGAGTTTGTGTTTCAACTGTTCTCTCCTCCGCCTTAACTGCTCTTTCTCTGCAATCAGTCTGTGTTCATCCGACTGGATGGAAAGAACATACTCTGTGGCTTTTTTCAGGATGACAACCTTGGGCGCCTTTTCATTGTTGGCCACCTCGGGTATCTGGTCACGCAAGGCAAAGAAACTCAGCTTCAGCTCGTTTCTCCTCTGGCGCTCCAAGACGTTGTGCGTTCGCCTCTTGTCGTTCTCTTCCGAATCTGACGTGCGGGGACTCGAGCATTTTCGGTTGTTGCTGATCTGCTTGAGAACTCTGCCACTGTCCAACTTTAGCCTTTTTGCAGCTGGATAGTCAACCTTGGTGGTGGGAGGAGCGGCGTAATTGTGCTGATGGATGTTGACGTGACACCGTTTGAGAACCAGCGGGCTGTGGTGGGGCTTACTGTGCTCTTCTGATGTGTCTGTGCTGGACTCTGTGCTGGATTCCGATTCATTCGCTTCGGCTAATGTAACAACATCAATTTCCTCATCTTCCTCTTGTTCTTCTTCTGCAAGGGGGAAAAAAAAAAAATATTCATGAGCTGATCTGTGCAAATACTCTCAAGACCACGGTATGGGTAAGGGAAGGTTACTCTGAGCTGCCCAACGAGGAACCGACTGACAAACCCGTCTTAAACTCATTTCATGCTGCTGGACTCTGCTTTCCCCAAGAGCCTTTCCTTCAAGGAAGCAACACTTCAAGTGCAATAGGACACAAGGACCGCGCTCCAAACCCGGGCTCCCTGATTTCAAAAGTTGCAAAGATCTTGCGTAATTCCGAGAAGCGCATGAAAGATAGGAGGAAAGTTTAACCTCGGTTGTCAGCAGCACAGCGCAATAAAGCTCCCAGACTCAAGCTGCCCTTAATTAAGGATTTAGAAGGCTTTGGCCACGCCTCAAAAGAAAGCTTACTTAACACACATGTGTATTCTGAGACATTTTCTGAATCTCTCTTGATCTGCTAATTTGTGGAAAATCCAAGGGGTGGAGAGAAAAGGAAAAAAAAAAAAAAAAAAAAAAAAGGAAGGCTGTATCGCTTTGAGTAGAAACTCACTTTCAACCCAAATTTATGAGGGAGCGGAACACGCTGTCAAATACCTAAGGAAGCATTTCTAAAACTTTCCCAGCCCCATTCACTCCTCTGCAGTCACTTTCACTAGCACCTCCCTGGCTGCACATTCCCCCCGCGGCTCTCGGGCGCGGGAGTTAACTCCTTCCCGGCCCACGGGTGGCACCGGGAGCCAGCTTCACCGGCACACCGCGCTGGACACCGGCTCTGACCCCGTTACGAAACTTTCTCCCTCCCCTCCCTCCTTT